TATATTTTATATATATATATATATATAATTAGGGAACTCGCTATCGTATCTATATGTAATGAAAGGGTTTTGACTCTATGGCCATGATTTTATTTATAAGGTATTGCAATTTCTTGAAATTAACCACATCAAATATTGATAAATTTTGCCATCACCTAGAATATCCCTATTAACTTCTGGAATAGTCATATTCATCAAACACAATGATTGAAACATCAAAAGAGTTGTTGTAGAAACTAGAATGTAAGAGGAAAGAATTCAGACTTTAATGACATGGAAGCTCAATTCAAAGCTACTTCAAACAGAGACTGTGCTGGCCATAAAGTGTCACCCATGTACAAGGGGAGGGGACTCAAAAGCAGTTTGGTGGTGTTATTAATAGACTGTTCTTGATATAATTAATCAAAGGTGGTGTCACATTAAAACCATTCATATTTAATATACTGCCTAATGCCAAGGAAAAAGTGAATTCTGCATTGCTCAAAGGTTGTTTAGCACTGATATATCCTTAAGGGCAGCCTTTAAATAAAAATCGGCAGACACAAGTAGAAGGCCTAAGTCCGAGCTCATGCACTGTAGAGCAGCTAAGCAGGCCCGAAGGTGAGAAACCGGTCAGAGAATTACGACTGGGAAAAGGCAGCCTGCTGCCTACAGACTCCGCAGGCTCACTGTTTTATTTCTACTTAGGTTTATACTCAAGCTGAGAATCTTGTAGACAAGAAATTGAAAATATAAAAAATTTTTGTATGATTTACCTTGCTTCCTTTGGTGGAGACAAAACAAAAGAAATAAGTGGGACTCCTCAAACTAAAAAGCTTCTGTACAATGAAAGAAACAAAATGAAAAGGCATCCTACTGAAAGAGAGGAGCTTCCTACAAACCATTTATGCATCCAAAATAAATAGAGAATTTGTGACATTCAACAATAAAAAGCAACCCCATTTTAAAATGGGCAGACGACCTAAAAAGGAGACTTTTGCAAAGGAGACATTAAAATGATGACCAGATGGAAAGATTGTCCTTTATTTCTTATTAATAGGGACATACACATCGAAACCACAATGAGGACCCACCTCATCCCTGCAAGAATGGCTATAACCCAATAGACAAAAAAACAAGAGTTGAAGAAGATGTGGAGAGGAAAAAACCCTTACACACTGCTGGGGATCGAAAGAGGTACAGCTATTATGGAAAGCAGCATGAAGTTTCCTCAGCAAAATTAGAACAGACATTCCATATGATCCAGTTATCCCAATTCTGGGGAACCATGTACCCTCCATGTTCACTGCAGCATAATTTATAGTGGCCAAGAATTAAAAACAACCTATGTCCCCTCTGGCACGTAAGTGGATAAGAAGCTGTAGTGTTTTTATAGGACAGCAAATCTGTTAGAGGACAGGGGGAAAGGGACACCCCTGAAGCCACAAAAACCTGCCTGCTCTAAGTGGGTTCTGCTATCTGCCACAACAAGACAAAACATATAAAACTTTAATGAAAAGGGACTTTAATACAGTGAATATACAATACGGAACACAAAGAATATAACTTCTAAATCAAACACCTGAAGTTACCCATCCACTCGTGGGCAAAAGTCAACCCAAAAGGGATTGGCCCAAAGCAAGGCCTGAAAGCCTGCCACTAGACTAAAGCACCTTCTGGCAGGGACCCATGGTCAGAAATGGCCAGACAAGTCTGGGAGGAAAAGAACAAAATCAAAATCAATATAAACACTGCCATATCACCTCCCTGTAGGTCTCTCACCCACATCTGCCTTAACCAGTCCAGGGTCAGGAAACAAGCACGGTTCTTCATCACATGCTTGCTGCTCCATAGGGCTTCCTCAGATCTCCTGCCCCTTCTCTTCTTCTCTCTCCTTTTTCTCTGCTCAGCTCCACCCTCCTTCTGGGTGGGGCAGGGAACCTGGAACTTCCCTTTTTCCTAGGGACCACCCCGTTACAATCCCCCCTTTTGATTTTTAATACCACCATATCTATGGTGGCACAAATTTTAGGGTACAGTTGGTAACCAACATTGTTCATGAATGTCCAATAAGTGGAAAATAGTCCATTAGTGTATGTGAAAGGGAAAAAAAAACCTTCTGGTGTATATCAAAACCACAGTAACAGAACAAAACAAAACTTTAAAAGTTGTTTAAAAGGTTCTCTCAACCTTGATCCCAACTTTGTTCAACTTGTATGCACAAGTCATTTACAAATACCATTTTAACCATTTTTGTATTTTTGCATAAAATCACAGGGCAGAATAATCAAGTAGCAAGTTGTTGTTGCTGGCCATGCTGGAGTCCTCCCTACAGGATCAGAGCGAACCATCGATGTCCAGTCCACACAGGCTTCAGAAGCAACATTGGTCTCAGCAGACTCAACCTGGAGTTTCCTCTTCTTGAGGTTACCAGGACTTTTATTTTTCTGGGTCGTCCAGGCCTGCCAACAGAGGCAAGCTTCCTCACCTTCTTTGGAGGTCTCTGGAACCCTACAAACAAAGCAGCAGGTTCTCCTTTTCTTGGTTCAGCTCTATTTGAAGTTCCTGGAGAATGCCAAGCAAAGCCACTGAAACACATTTCCAATTTATTTAGGTTAAGCGAACAAAATTCCCTATTGAAGTTATGCAAAAATACTCAAGTAGCAAATATTACTACCACAATCTTTACACTGTGTTGGTATCAAGGGGAGAGAAAGATAGAAATACATGTTAGTTCTGCTGAAGAAAAATATTACTGCAGATTCTGGTTATTGAAAGCAAAAAAAAAAAAACTTTGAATCAAATGGGGAAAGAAAAAAAAAATACCAGTATCATTTCAAAGGAAAACTTAGCAAAAATCAGTCTGTTCAGTTCTTTGCAGAAAATCTTTTTCCACTGTCAAAATTTCTACCAGTTGAGGTCTTTCTCTGTAAACATTTTTTTTTCCCCTTTCACATGCACTAACAGACTATTTTCCACTTATGGCTGTCATATTGGACTTTCATGGACAATGTTGTGACTGACTGTACTCTAAAATCTGTGCTACCATAGATATGGTGGTATTAAAAATCAAAAGGGGGGATTGTAACAGGGTGGTCCCTAGGAAAAAGGGAAGTTCCAGGTTCCCTGCCCCACCCAGAAGGAGGGTGGAGCTGAGCAGAGAAAAAGGAGAGAAGGAATGAGAAGAGGAAAGAAGAGAATGAAGTAGGATGGAGAAGGAGCAGGAGACCTGAGGAAGCCACATGGAGCAGCAAGCATGTGAGGAAGAAGCAGTGTTTGTTTCCTGACCCTGGACTGGTTAAGACAGATGTGGTGAGAGACCTGCAGGGAGGTGACTATGGCAGTGTTTATATTGATTTTGATTTTGCTCTTTTGCTCCCAGATTTGTCTGGCCATTTCTGACCCTTTTCCATGGGTCCCTGCCAGAAGGTGCTTTAGTCTAGTGCCAGGCTTTCAGGCCTTGCTTTGGACCAATCCCTTTTGGGCTGACTTTTGCCCACGAGGGGATGGGTAACTTCAGGTGTTTGATTTAGAAGTTATATTCTTTGTGTTCCGTATTGTATGTTTACTGTATTAAAGTCCCTTTTCATTAAAGTTTTATATGTTTTGTCTTGTTGCGGCAGATGGCAGAACCCACTTAGAGCAGGCAGGTTTTTGGGGCTTCAGGGGTGTCCCTCTCCCCCTGTCCTCGAGCAGAATTGGTGTCCTATAAAAGTATCAGCCACAATAGAGCACTACTTATCTATAAAAGATGGAATCCTATGAACCCGCAACACAGATAGACTTAATGGGTATTATGCTTACTGACGTTAAGCAAGACAGAGAAAGACAAACACTGTATGATTTCAGCAATGTGGAACATAGAGAAACAAATAAACTAAATTAAAAAAAAATAAACTCTTATACTATAAAACCAGTTAGTGGTTATCAGAAAAAAGGGGTCACTGCATGGTGAAGGGATAGAACTGAAATTTCAGTGGTGAACTCAACGTAGAATATGCAGCTGTTGATTCATAATGAAGTCGACCTGAAACTTAAGTAATATTATGATGTTGTTTTACCTCAATAAAAATTTAAAAGTAGTCTTAGAAGAATGAGTCAGATTAAAAACAAAGGTTACTTAGATCAGAGAATCCAAAATAAGAACTATTTTTTTCCACTTTCTGTCTTCAGCATGGTGTTAATGGAAGGGTGTGGGGTTTGGAACCCCACAGTTCTAAGTCCCAGTTTCACTTACTAATCACATGGCTGTGGGTCAGGCAGACAAGATTTTGAGCTCCCTATCTGCAAACAGAGCTTTAGCTCAAAGCTACTATACCAGTGGCATCAAGCACAGAACCTGAGGAATTTTTATTCTTGTGTCTAGTAGATGTCGTTATTTTTTGCCCAACTGCTTTCTCCTTTCCAATTTCTTATTCTTCAGGATATATTTGATTCTACAATTCTATAGTCATCTTTGATTTACTGTAACACAATTTACAAAATTCTGGTAATGTAAGTAATCCTTAATCTCAAGGAGTTCACAGTCTTGACAGTCATTTAAACAAAACACTAATACCAAACATTGCCTGTTATTCATTCCACATGCATTTTTGAACATTAACTCTAAGGAGGCACAGTGCTAAACCCAGAGAACAAAGGGGTAAAAAGAAAATGCCCCTGTCCTTGTCTGAGCTCCTGCTCTTTTCTATGTGCTCATTCTTTCCTACAGGCACACACACACCATATGAGATGAGTAGCTTTTTTCCCACTTTCAATATCTACCTACATCCTACCTATTACTTTCTTTCAAGCACTCGCATCTATCTTTTCACCAGCCAACATCACTATTGTCCTCAAAAACTATAGCAATAGTAAAAGCAAAATTACCCTGAAATAGGATCTGTTAGAGATCTCTAGCACATACATTCCCCTTACATTTTGACATTTGCTAAGTTGGTAGAAAAGAACACAGGCAGTACTGCAATTACAAGACCCTCCTGTCTTGCCCAGTATTCGCCTCTATGCTATTGAGCTTGGAAGGAGAAGGGGCATGACCTTCACAACTAGGAGTTCTACTTTGCTTCTGTCAATCTTATTTCCCACAGAGCCTTTGCCACCAAGATTGATCAGGCACTCATTACCATTGAACCCTCTCAACTACTCACAGAAATCATCATCTGCTTCAAAAAATGTTGTACAATGTTAAAAACAATACAAAGAACAGTTCAATACTAACAGCAGCTATAATTGTTATAACCCTGAAATAATTGATTTCTTCCCAAAAGTACAAGTCTTTCACCTTCATTAAAATAACTATTTTTGTAGTAGATGGAGAAGCACCCACCTATTAAAACCATCATTTAATTGTATGTAGAAATGAAAATAAAATCACTATTCAACAGAAGAGAAAGCATCCCAAAAGGTTAACAGACTTTTCAAGATCACACAGAGGGACGTTATAACCCAAGTCTTAAACCCCGAAATGTAAGGTGATTTTCCTCCTTACTGCACATTCCTTTTTGATAATGTTGGCACAAAGGACTCTTAATTTCTTAATATATTTACTTTGTAATGACTTTATTGAGATAGGAGTGAGCTAGAAATATGAAATTGACCTACCTCTAAGTAGGATTACATACAGTTCAGCCCTCTGCTTAGAACTGGACATTTCCAAATGCCCATAAATTAGGGTATCACCAAAGATACACAGAATATGATTCTATTAGGAAAACTAGTAATTTTCCCCCTCTATAAAAATACTTCCAGGCACAGCTTCCTTGTGAAGATGAACAGCACATGGAGAGAGCATCTCACAGCTTGCCTAGCAAGCATTCAAGTTCTTTTATGGGGCAGGGTGAGGGCACTCAGGAACCCCCAAACCTGCCCACTCTAAATAGATCCTGCCATCCACTGCATCAAGACAAAACAATACTCTAATGCATAAGACCTTTAATGGGAAGCAACTTTAATGATTTTGTGCGCAATAAGGAGAAGGGAAAGAATAGATAAACTAGTTTTTAAATCAAGCACACAAAATTACCCATCCCCTCATAGTTAAATGTCTAGTCAAACAGGGTTGCCCCAAAGCAAGCCCAGTGAGGCCCCAAAGCCTGCCACAAGTCTAAGGCACCCCCTGGTGAGGATACACAGGGAAAAGGCAAATGAGGCCCAGCAAGTCTAGAAGCAAAATCAAAATCAAGGAAAAAACTGCCATTATTAATTAACCTTCCCACTGTTCTCTCACCCACATATGTTTCCACCAACACAGGCAGAGAAGCAATAGCAACTTCTTCACATGTCTCTTCTCAAGGTACCTCCTCCAGATCTCCCTCTGGCTCGCCCTCCTTTTCTTCCTCCAGAGTCCTCTCCAGCTTCTGCTCCCGGCTCAGCTTGACATCCCCCCCCCCCACCTTGGGTGGGGCAGAGAACCTGGAACCTCCCTTTTCCCTGGGGACCACCTAGTTACAATTCTATTACTCAAAATGAACCTTTGTGGTCAGCTTCATTGTATTTTCAATTATTTATTTTTTTTTCAATTTTTTAAATATAAACTTTAAAAATTAACTAGAAGGACTTGTTTTGTTTTGATTTTACTATTTTAACTATGAAAGGATGCCAAACATATTTTGTAAATCTAGGAATACAAAACTTAAAAATTTTTCCTCGGACTGAATTTTTCCCTTCTATAATTGAATCCATTTGGATAAAAGGAAAAGGAAATTTAGAAATAGATATTTTAACACAGAATGAGTATTCCAACTCACAAAGTCTGAGCAAAGGCACATTAGGAGAGAAGAGCAGGTGAAAAATTTGTAAAAGTTTTGGGCAAGAAATAACATTAAATAAAAAACTTAGAAAAATAATCAGTCACTATAAAATGTTCTCCGGTTGATCAAGAATGACTCACGTAAGCATGCTGTTAAGGATGTAAATGTAAAAAATAAGCTAACAAAATATTAAAAGTGGTCAAAGAGAAGTTTCTTCCTGGCTTTGGGATCTTGTCAGCTTACTTCACAGGTCTGAATCTCAGTATCTGCTTCTGCTAAGAGGGGAAGTGGGGGGAAAAGTTGACTAGATCATGCTAAACCACTCCAGGTGTTTTGATCAACAGATAGACTAAAACTGGGCAGGCTGCTTTCCAATATGGGAGGGGTGGGGGGCAGGGTTTGTTCGGGCTTGCTGTTGGTGACCAGACAGTTCGGGAGTATCCTAGTAGCTTCCATGGGAATCATTTCCACTAGCTGCAGACAAGGAGGTTTTCGCCTTCAAATGGCTAATCATTTACAACTTTCCTATCCACGAGAAGTCTCCCCTCAAGAAACTATGTAAACAACCAGTGAAGTGTTAACAGAGTTTGTAATTTTTTACCCTTGGAGATTGTTCTAGGTGAAGGCCACTAGGGAATGGAGGGGTAGAGGGGAGAAAGTCCAAAATAAACTACATTTGTCAACAAAAGTAACATGGTAACTCTAGCCATGCACAGCAGGGGGAAGGCCGGGCAGTAAAAACTGTATAGTCTGCAACTGCAGGCCAAAGAGGGTAAATTTTACTCAGCTGGGCTGAGGGCAGGAGGCAGCAGGCAAACTCGCAGTCACAGAAATGTCCCAGCGCAGGGCTGGTCACAGTAAAAATCAAGCGGGGGTGGGGGTGGGGGGGGTAGGAATGGGGTGCTAATAAGCGCCCCAGAGCGCGGAGTCAAAATGCTGACCCTATGACACCTAGGGCTGGGCGACAGGACCGGAATGAAGTCTCCCTAGGTGATTTACTGCTAAGTAACAGCATCCCCGAAAGCATAATGACTTCAGCTAACTCCTAAGTTCTTGAGGAGTCAGCGCTGGACAGGAGCACGGCCAAAATCAAGCTCGAGACCATTTGGGCCAGCGGAAAGAAAGTCCTGCACTAGTAAAAGGACTTTTTAAACCACTTACCCGGTTAAATTAGTGTATCAAAACCCCTCTTGGGCTCGCGCAGGTCCCACCGGAAAAAAAAGCGCGGGCCACGTCCCCCTGGAACACTTGCTGGCTCCGCCTCTCCCCGCCCACAGGGGCGGACGCGAGATTCCCCCGAATTCAGAGCGAGAAAGAGGTTTGTCCCTTCTCGGCCACCGCTCCTTTCAACATGGCTGCCTCCAGGGAAAGGCCAGAAATAACGTGAGAACAGACTCTAAATCCCACCACATGGATCGCGACGCAGAGTTCAGGAGATGGAAGTCGCAGTGTCTGAGTAAAGTGGACCTCAGTCGGAAGGGCAGTTTGGACGAGGACATTGTAGAGCTTGTGCAGGTCTTGAACCGGCAAGAACAGTTTTTCACCACCAGCTCCTGCTCTGGCCGCATCGTGCTTCTGGATGGGGTGAGAACCCTTTGTGCCGGTCCAGCGGCCGCCCTCTGGTTTGCGAAACAAGGATCCGTGTGGCCATTCAGTGTAATATCTCAATCCAGACTGTCCTTCTGGTGGAGGGCATCGGTGTCTTTAAGACATTTAAAGGGTGAATTAGATCAGTGTTTCCAGAAGCTTGAAGGTGTTTATCACCTGAGGGTCTTTATAGATACAAATTCTGATTCTCTGAATCTAGGTTGAGACCTGGTATTCTGCATTTCTAACAAGTGGAGTTTAAACTGTTGGCCTGAGAAGATCTTGAGTTATAAAGAGAATTTGATTTTCTGAAATACACCGGAGTCAGGCGCGGCTGCGGTTCTCTTTTATTGATTGAACGTCGCCAGGGTGAAGGAGTTTACTGCCACCTAGTGAACCACTTAATTAACACAGCTCTTGTAATTTTATTTTTTCTCTTAAGAGCATTAGTATGTATTGTGTGAGGTAGTGGTCGAGCCCTCAGGCTTTGGAGTTGACACTGCTCAAGTCGAAAACCAGTTATGAGAATTAGGGGCTATATGACCTTAGGGAAAATTACCTAAACTTCAGGCTCTCCCTGTTCAATAAATGGAGGAAAATAGCTACTTTATAGAGGTTTTCTTTGATGAAGATGGAATAACATGAAACATTTAGCGTATACCTCGCCCATATTAAGTACATTATAACTGTATTAATTTTAGTATTCTCACTGACTTCAGAGAGCATAAAAGCAGCTCTTTCTTCAAATCCCTCACATATCACTTGATGGCCTTCCAGGGGCCCACTGGTTTTTAGATTGATTTTATTGCTTCCTAAGTACTGCCACTCCTGTGCACCTTGCCTTCTCTTTTCTCTGTTCCTCACCACGCACTACTTCTGCCCTATCCTGCCTGGGTTTTTATAGTCATTTTCTAATAGCTCACTGAACTACTAATCTCTCTATCCCTAAGCAATGCGATATATATATGTGTGTGTGTGTGTGTATATATAGTTAACAAATTCACCTTTTAGAAGTGAACTATTGTTCTCTCTATCCCTAAGCAATGCGATATATGTGTGTGTGTATGCATATATATATGTGTATATATATATAGTTAACAAATTCACCTTTTAGAAGTGAACTACATGCCACTCACCTATGCTGAACTCTGTTAGTCTATATTTTTCAACTTCATAAACTCTAAATACTCTAGTTTGCTTGTCAATCCTTTATTCCATTACTTCTCTTCGTGTTTGTTTACTGAAATCTATTTTCTTTTCAACTTATATTTACCTCTTTTTGCCTTTACTCAACTTTGTATTTCCTGAAATATTTTCCTCATCTCAGAATATCTGAGACTTGACTCCCAAAACTTGCTTCTCCAGGGAAACACAAATTACAGGCATTCACTTGGAAGTAATGACAACTTGAATAACTTTGATTTACTTACTAAAAAGCAGTACAAGAAGAAAAATGAAAGGGAAAATCTGGATGAAGGGAATACAGATAAGATGAAACCAGTAATGGCTTTGATTCCTAAAACTTTTGATTTGATGCTGTACTTTGCTAGATGTAGCCTACACATTTGGCCAAGATATCAGCCAGGGCAAGATCAGAAATAGAAATCACTGAGGTCATTCAGTGAAAACCAAAGTAGATATTAAAGAGGAGCATAGTCTTTCCTGGTTCCAAGGCCAGACAGCAGTTTCCTGTGGACCCATTGTATAAATAGTTACTTTGTAGAAATACAGTGATTTAAACCTTGTGGTTTCCTGCATCTTTCCAGGGTCTTGAGGGTAGGATCTGTTTATACCCAAAGTATCTAATAGAACTTTGCAAATAAACATTTTTCCAGATAGTAAACAAAAAGTTGATGCAAAAATACTGCTTTCTTGAAACTCTGATTTTCAGTTCTAGTTCTGCCCTTTGAGGCAGCATATGAAATCTAATCCTGAGATCACAAATTTATGCCTATAGAGACTAGCAACATATTATAAGCATGAGCAGCACATCTGTCAGTTAACAGTGGTAGGTCCTGGAGAGTGTTGAAACAGTGCCATCTTACAAAAAATGTTTTGTTTTTGTGTGTGTGTGTGTTAGCCAAATAAAACAATCCAAGTCAGGCTGCTAGTGTACAGCCCCTTGTAATAATCTCCTTTCTCCTAACAAAATCATGACCAATTTCAGAAAATGTTTATTAAGAACTTTTCCCTCAGTAGACAAATTATTTCATTTCTATCTCAAATTATGTTCTACCTCAGGTAATTACTGGTTTCTTTTTTGTGTATGGGATTAACTTTACCCAGAAACACTGAATTTTTCTCAATAATACTTAAAGTTACCACTTAGGATTATTAATTTAGAATACTTAAAACAAGCTGTGCATTGTACTTACTACTTTTATAACTATTACATGATATATATGACCTCATTTGTTATTTTAGGGTATAAATGGCTTTGAGGTTCAGAAACAAAACTGTTGCTGGCTACTGGTTACACACAAACCTTGTATAAAAGAAGATGTGGTAAGTTTTTATATATAAACTTAGAAATAAACTTTGTAATTCACAGTCACTTTCAATACAGACGAAAAGAAGAAAATTCTTGTTGATTTAAATTCACAATTATAGTAAGTGGAGATTATAAAAGCTAAAGAATAGTCATTACAATAACTGTTTAGGTATATGAGAAATAAAAGTATAATTACCTACAGCTGTTCAACAAAACACATCCTGTTGGACATAGTAGAGAATTCATGGATGTTGATCACATACTGGATCTAAAGTTTGATTTTCATTTCTGACATCTGAGAACTCTGTAACCTGGAATAAATTACAGAAAGAGAATGGAATTAGGAGACAAGGATTGGCATTAGCTATGTATTACTAGCACACTGATGTAAATAAATTATTATTTACCTGATTGTTTCTTGAAATTTTTCATGTCTGGGCTAAATGAAGTTTTTGAAATTAAAATACTTAAGTGAGTTAATCTGAATTTGTATTTGCTAGGGAATTTATATTCTCAGTGAATTTAGAAATCTAATTGTAACTGTCTTAAGCAAAGGTGATAGTTTATTTCACTGGAAAAGACAGGAGTAGAGCTGGCATCAAGCATTACTGGTGCTGGGATTGAAATGTCTTCAGAGTACTCCATCTCCACCTTTGGGTACTGGGTCTCTCTGCATATTTCCCTTTGTTCTCTTGCTGTAGATGATCTTTGTAGAAAGAAAGGCAGATGTCAGCAATCCCAGCAGAAAGACTTCCAAAGATCCATGCATCATTCTAAAGGATAATTCTGAGTTATCCTGCTTGGGTTAGGTGTTCTCCCCTCAGAAGCAATTATTTTTGCCAGTAAAATGGAATGCTGTCCTTGAACAGCATGTTATATCACTGATAGTATGCTAGCAGGAGGAATAGGTGACAGTCACAGTTGAAAATCTCACCAGAGTCACATGTTAGGAAGGATGAAAGCTGATGCTGGGGGATACTGGGAAAACAAATAACAACTTCCTTGTAAAAATTCTAGCTCGTTGCATTGTGGCTAAACTTCAGTCTAACAAAATGTTTATACAGAACTTCTAATGTAGCCTTTACATGTTTTATTCCTCAATAAAAATTTATTAGAATAATAGTTTACTTTGTGAAGGTATGTTAGAATGAAGTGAAAGATGGGAGGATTGGGAATCAAGTGTTTTCTTTTTTTTTTTTTTTTTAAAAAAAAAGCATGTTAATAATTTTTTGGAGACAGAGGACCAAGAAAACAATGAAAAGTCATTAGGGAAAAAACAATATACTGAATGGGTCTGAAAGTTTCTGGAGAAAACTGAGCCATATATGATGCAGCAGCATCAAAGACCAGTATCATATATTTGTGTCTGATGCTAAGGTCTTTCATCTGTTTAGATCGCAGCTCTGAAGAAAGCGAGTGGGGATGCCATTTTGAAATTTGAACCATTTGTTCTTCATGTGCAGTGTCAACAGTTACAGGATGCACAAATTCTGGTAAAATTTTATAATTATACTTGGATTGATAGGCCTGTAGGTAGAATTGATTTTAAACTTTAAGTCCACAAAAAATTAAATGCAATGTTACTTTAACTTTTTTTTTATTATTATTTAAGTATAGATTGGGATTATAAGTTTTTCTGTAGTTTGTAGAGCTAAGCAGTTTTACCTGATTGATTAGATTATCCGAATTTTAACAAGCTTACTTTCTTACAGCATTCGGTGGCAATGGATTCTGGTTTCAGGAATTCAGGCATAACAGTGGGAAAGAAAGGAAAGACTATGTTGGTAAGATACCTGTAGGCAAAAAGCAATTCTTTTGAGCATGAGGTGATCCATATTATTAAATAACCATCTAACTAGACTTTTAATTAAACTCCTGCCTTTTGTCTCTCCCTCCTCAAATGTTTTTTGCCATTTCCTTGCAGATAAAGTTCTTTCCTACAGATAAAGTTCAAAATTGTTAGATTTACATTTTTTTTTAAAGATTTATTTATTTATTCATATTGAGATGGGGTACAGGCCAGAGATGTGGAGGGTCTGAGGATTCACCAGAGACAGAGAGGGGAGCAGAACAGTGACGAAGTACACTGCTGAGGGGAGCAGCGGGCGGGTCAGGAGAGGACTGCCACTCCATGTGGAGCTCCTCTGGGGTGGGCAGGCGGGAATCGAACTCATGGAGAAGTGGCTTAAGCTTCTTAGTGCTGTGCTTTAACCCGCTGCGCCACCAGGGAGGGCCCTAGATTTACATTTTATAGTGATGCTCTGTGTTGTCATTCTAATTAAGGCCCAATTTAATAACTAACATAATGCAGTGGAAAGATTACAAAGTCTAACTTCCTCTATATACATACTCCCGGTACCCCCACTATGCTCTATGAAACCATGTATGCAACTCTTTAATCCTTCAGGGCATGAATTTTCTCAGGGTCCAATAAACTACTACACTAGGGCTATATCTATGGTATGGCTGGATCCCACTATGCCCATTTGATTAATTACTACCTAGGATATTTACTGCTTGCCTGGCATATATTGTTTGCTTCGATCTACTTCTGATTCCACCTCTGTGGGCTTTCCTATTTTCTATCTAATTTAAACAAATAACTTATTTTTCAAATAGAAGTAGCTTACAAAAGTCACCTATGAAGTATGTCTAAACAGAAGAAAATCAAAACTCATGGTCCTAGTTATGTTCCCTCTCACTACCCATATATCTGGTGGCCCAAGCAAGAACAGAGCCACTGTTGTACCTTCCTCTCTTTTCTGTGTTCAGTTAGTTACAAGTCCTATCAAATCTGCTTCCAGCATATCACACCTGATTGGCACCCCGCCCCTTCTTGAGCTGTTATCATCCTTCACCAACCTTGTCTTCTGACTGGCCTTCCTGTTATCCATCTTCTCCTTCAGTCCGTCCAACCAATATTGTCGGAGTCCCTCTTTAAAAAAAATTCAGGATCTCCAAATATTTTCTCTGATATTCAATGCCTATCACAAACAATTTTGCATCTACCTTATTTATGCTCTTTTCCCACTCGCGCATGGATGCTCCCGCTACGCAGAAATACAGTGTGTAGCTCCTGTCATAGCACTTTTGTGTGTGGTAATTCTTTGCTCACCTTTTTATTTCCTGTTGTAGAATGTGAGGTTTAACGGGCAGGGGTCGTGCGACATTTATCATAGATCCGCACACCTTACATGAGGCCTCAAACAGTGCAGATCCACAGTAAGGGTTCATTCAGTCAATTTTTTATTCCTCGTAATAGTTTTTGTTGTTCATCGTAACGGATGTGTTTAGATCTACTTGGGAACATGATGAAGTGTTTCATTAACAGGATTACTAAGATTGGCAAACCCTAATGCAACCACTTTTTAAGATAGAAGAGGCTTACTCTATTCTTATAAGCACATGACTTGGACAGTACTAAGAGGCTTTTTGGCACCCAGTCTATTTTCCCTGGAAGCTTCTGTTGAAATTTCATTTATTTTTTTGCTTTAAATAGTGTATTACAGCTTTCTGTGCTTTAGTGAGATTTAAACAGTTAAAGTTATTGGATTCTTTGATACTGTCTACTTCTCTAAAAGATAATGCGTAGAATGCCTGTTTTTATACATGCCTTTCTATGATGGGAAAATCTATTTAACCTCCTTGGA